TTTCTTCTACTTGCTGTGGCTCCGGTTTGCTGTTGCCATAGCTTTCTAGATTCTCGGGCGCATCTTGTCTCTTGCACATACTGTCCTTTTTCTGGGATGTGTCACTTCACATCCTCACCACCCCATGCCTGTGCCCCCAAAGTGCAATCACAACTGTAGGATTGATGTAGTAGATTTGTCACCAGAGGTTTGAGGAACTTAAAATCAAATATTGGACATCACTGTTTTCTGCAATTCCTCCATCATTCCTGTCTCTAGGAACTCCTCACTTCCAGCAGCGCCCAGCCTACTGCCTTGATGCTGATGTTGTGTGTCCTCCTCTCCCATTCTTCCCCATCTTCTCCCCATTTTCTGCTCACCACCCACTCCTCCTTTCCCACTTCCTGTTACTTCTCTCACATGACTGTGTTTCACTCTGGTTCATGGAGCCTCACCTTTCAAACCAAGGCAAGTATCAAGGTATTTTGCTAAACAAAGACTGTTCCTCCCACAAGTGGAAACTTGGCACCAGATTTTACATATTTACACTCTTTGAAGGAAGCCAAACCTTTTCTTTGCATTTTTTTCTATTAGGTTAAGAACCTTATGAAATCGCTGATAGTCAATTGTTTCTTATTTACCAAAAAAAAAAAAAAAAGATGATTTCAAAGGGTTCAACCTAAAGATCTTGCCACAGAAGAATTTTCAGAGCCAGACCTTTACCCTGGGGCTCCTAGAAGCCATTCTCTTTCTCTCGTTCTCAGGCATGTTTTCCCAAGGCTCCATTAGGCTGCTTTTTTCTTTATTCATTCTTGAGCAAGACAGGATTTACCGCAACCTAAGAACAATGCCACTAAGGTGAAGGGGTTTACCTTTCCCCAACTCTTAGTACCCTAGGGTGGTGGCAGATCCACTTTCAAATCTACAGCTGGAAACACAGTGACATGCCAAGTCCCAGTCCACCTCCCAATTTCTAATATTCTTTAGTGATATTGGAGGGGCCAAATTACGTATGTCTCCAATCCTTTTTGTATGCACACAGAAAAAACTGGAGACAAACTCTACAAATAATTTTACGTTATCTTTCTCAGATTCATATTAGAAACATGTTCCCATCTTTAAAAATAATTTGCAAGCACATGATTTTAACAGCTACATAATACTATGTCAAATAAATGTAGCATGATTTATTTAACCTTTTTGGGGGCTGATTCCTAGTTCTCATTATTATAAATTATGTTTTGAAAAAATATTCTTTCATATAAATCTCTCCATTTCTTATTTTTCATTAGATTCAGTTTTTCTTAAAAAGGAAAATTCTGGATAAAAGATAGATAAACTTGGAACAATGTATACTCACTTTAGAAGTAGATGAAAATGTCAGTTTCATGACATCTTCCCCAGCCTTTGATATTATTTCTGAATACCCTACAAACAGAATGCACATAAGGGAGCTTTTTGTTTGTGAGAATGAGGGTGTGTGTGTGTGTGTGTGTGTGTGTGTGTTGGACAGTAAAGAAAGAAAGAAATATGAGAAGGGGACAAAGAGACATACATATTCTTAAGAAGTCCAGAGATGCACAAGTTGCGTAGCAACTGATATATGCTGTCAGGGGTTAAGCAAGACACAGAAAAATTGTAGGTGGTAAGTAATATTTTAAGAACTTGTGTTCAAATTATTTAGGTAAGACATTATGTGCGGTTATATATCAGAACTTGTGAAAAACAGTTAACAACAAAACTTGATATCTGAATCTCTCTTTTACGAGGAAGCCAAGAAAAATATACAATCCTATATTAAAATCAGTGGTAGCATTCTTTTTACCGCTTATCGTCTATCCATTTGTTTAACAAATACTTTTTTGGTGTCTCTCATGTGCCAGGATGCTAGAAATAAAGAAATGAATGAAATAAAGTCCTTGCCCCCAAAAGCTCACTATAAAGTGGATAAAACAAATATGCAAATAAATAATTACACTATAGATTGATAATCGTCCTTCCAGAGACATTAACAAATCCATAAAGTACAAAGTGACAAGCTCTGCCCATAAGGAATCAGAGGAAGCTTGACCTGAGCTTTTGAGTTAGGTCTTGAAGGGTGAATAGGAATGTGCCATGCAGAGAAAGGACACAACTTTCCACAGAGAACAAAGAGCTTGGACTCTATTCCATTAATGCAGAGTATCCAGTATCCCAACTGCTGTGCCTTGCATGGGTTTCAGATGTGTGCTAAAACACTGATTTTACTCTACCCACAGGCTGGCCAGGTGGGACCTGGGCAGCTGGCATCCCTGGATTGGTTCCTTCAGCCCCAAATAGCCTCATCTCCTTATTCCCATGTGCCACTGACATGTGTATTAGTCCATTTTCAAACTGCTACAAAGAACTTCCCTGTGACTGGGTAAACATAAAGAAAAGAGGTTTAACTGACTCCCAGTTCCGCTGGCTGGGGAAGCCTCAGGAAACTTACGATCATGGTGGAAGGGGAAGCAGGCATCTTCTTCACAAGTCACCAGGAAAAGGAAGAATGAAGGAGGAACTTCTAAACACTTATAAAACCAACAGTTCACATGAGAACTCACTCACCATCATGAGCACAGCTTGTGGAAAACTCCTCCATGATCCAATTACCTCCCTCCCTTGACACATGGGGATTACAATTCAAGATGAGATTTGGGTGGAGACACAGAGCTAAACCGTATCAACATGTAATTTTTTACATATGCTGTGATGTGAAAAATGTTAGGAAGCCCTGCCCCAGGGAGAGGTGATAGAGGTTTATATCCAGAGTAATAATAAAATCACACTGGAATTTTTAAGAGTTAGCTCTGATGGTGGTGTGATGGCACCTGGGAATGGAGAGAAATTGCTTATCAGGAAGAAGAAACTGGAGGCTGCAACAGATGACATTATATGTTCAAATACATTTGCTACCTCACCCTGCAGGGCCTCTCCCTAAGGAGGACCACACTCCGGCCCAGGATGCCTGGCACAGCCCTGTGACTTGGTTGGCCAGTGGAATATGAGTGAGTAGGATCTGTACCCTTCCCTTGTCAGCAGAGGCTCGGAAGTGCTCTGAGGGTCCACCGTTTCCACCCTTTCCCTTTGTGCAGAGGCCAGGGCATCCTGACAGAGTCAGCCTGGAAAGAAGAGGACAAAAAGGAGGGATGCAGCTGACCTGCAAAGGCCAGTTATGTGAGCAAAACATAGATCTTTATTGCTGTGAACCACTAAGGTTTGAAGGTTATTTGTGCAATAAACTGGTGAATACAGAAGCTAATGTGCGAGTCCAAGCTCGAGAATACCAGGGCCTAAACTGACAAGTCCTCAGAGTCAGTAAATCAATCAGTGGAACTTCTTACATGGTTAAGTCAGAAAAGAAATATGCTCTGCTCCAATGACTCCCAATTAGGGGTGTGAGAATCCATTGGGGATCACTGTCCTGCAGAGCTAGACAAAGCCAAGGCACTGTGCTTCTCCAGCAGCCCTTCCCAAATCATCTGCATGGCAGATTGAGTCTAAGTGGAAAGAAGCTGATTTCCTATTAGTAAAGCTTGTTTCCCACTTTCTTTATTTCTGTAATACAAATATTGGCTGTCCCTTTGTCACCTTCTTTGACATTTCACTCCAAAAAAACAAAAAATTTAAGCATGCAAGAGCATTAGTAAGCACTGCAGAATGTAACCTGAATTTCATTGAGGAGATGGAAGAAAGGGCTTACCTTGCATAACAGATCACATCTTGCTAGGGGGAGAAAAGGTGATTAAATGAGCCTTTTCTCCCGAACTTTCTAATCAGCCTCATAACTAAAACTTTTCTCCATTTCCCAGCGTCCCACCCCATAGACCACTGCTCCATGCCATCTATGAATGCATTAAAGAGAGTACTATTGTAACTACTCATGCTTCATGCAGGCGATGCACTAAGACAGCTGGCTAAAATGAAATCCAAATCTCCGAAGCCATTCTTGGAGACATATATCCTTGAGCCTTCTCTCTCCTAAGCAGTTTATAAGAAGCAGAGATCTAGAACTCAGCTCCCCAATGTGTGGATTTCCTCCAGTGGTTTTTTTTGTTTGTTTGCTTGTTTTGAGACAGGGTCTCACTCTGTCACCCAGGCTGGAGTGCAGTGCTACAACCACAGCTCACTGTAGCCTCCACCTCCCAGGCTCAAGTGTTCCTCCCACCTCAGCCCTCTAAGTAGTTGGGACCATAGGAGCACACTACCATGCCCGACTAATTTTTGTATTTTTTGTAGAGACAGGGTTTCACCGTGCTGTCCAGGCTAGTCTCAAACTCCTGGCCTCAAGCTATCCATTCCCTTGGCCTCCCAGGGCGCTGGGATTACCGATGTGAACCATTGCGCCCAGCTCACAACAGTTTTTTTTCCTTTTTATTTTATTTTATTATATTTTGGTAGAAACAGAGTCTTGACATGTTGCCTAGGCCACTTGTGACCTCCCGGCCTCAAGCAATCATCCTGCCTCAGTGCTGGGATTGCAGGAGTTCACAATCGTTTGAGAATAAAAAAATGCTCTTTGAAATTGTGACACCCCTAGCAGATGCGGTAGTCATTCACATCTTAACTTGTGGTCATTTAATTAGATGCTTTTCTCCTAACGTCAAGTTGGGGTCCTTTCTCTGAGGAGACAAAATCAGTGCCAGATGGTGGGTGGGTGTGGAGACTGAAGAGTTGAGAGATGATGATGCTGGCAGCCCTGGTACCAGCCCAGGGATGCTGCACAGCAGGGCAACAGAGAAGAGAGAGAACCCAGAAGTTGGAAGAGGGCCCTGGAAAGGAGAAATGAGAGAGCAACAAGCATAAACATTGTCCTTTTCACAATGTGGCCCAGGATCAGCTCAGAAACAGCTTATATTTCGTCCACATCATTCTTACCAAATCTTCACACAAATTAAAAGCAGAAATCTGAATAAATTCTCTTTGCAACAGTTTGTGACCATCAGAAATGCAGAGGAAGGAATGTGCCTCTGCTCCACCCACAACATCACTGAGCGGCTTACCTTTTGCGTAAGGTCACTGGCTTGGTTGATGTACCGGTCACGCTCCTTTTCCAGATGAAAGATGATCTTTCTCTGCTTCTGAGCCTCATCCTTGTAGTTCTGGATTTCTTCCTCCAGGTTCCTCTTGGCTTGTTCATGGAGCTTTACCAAGTCAGTCTGCTTCTGGGTCGCATTGACTGCCTTAAGCATGTTCTAAAAATAAGGGCACAAAGCAGTCACATTACTCACAATGTTTGAGGATTTGGGGTTAAGTTTACCCTCTGCCTCACATCTAACATAATTAGATAGCTTGTCTTTTGGATGAATAAAAATGATCATGTTCCCTACAGCTTATTAAGAGCTTATTATGCTAATTTTGCACAAGGCACTTTAAACACACATATAAATACACTAAGCAACCACAATGTCCCTAAGAAATGGGCCCCATATTGCCCCATTTTAGAGGCAGGAAACTGAGACTGAAGAGTTAAGCTACTTGCCTACAAGTTCATACAATGGGGAAGTGGCAGAGCAAAGATTTGAATCCATGGCTGTCTAACTCCAGAGTCCATGCCTTTAACCTCCAATCTAGCTCTTGCCTTTCTCTTGTGAGGTTAGAACTGAACCTAATCATATAACTTGAGCTTTGATTACAAAGGAAGATAAAAAGCAGCTTAATAAAAATGCAGACACCTAGAATTAACATGTGACCCAACAATTTCACTCCTGAATATATACTCAAAACAAATGAAAGCAAAAACTTGTACATGAGTATTCACAGTAAAATAATTCGCAAGAGCCCAAAAGATAGACACAACCCAAATGTTCATCAACTGATAAACAGATAAGCAAAATACAGCATATCCACACAGTGGAATAGCATTCAGCCGTAAAAAGGAATGAAGTACAGATGCATGCTACAACAGTGCATGAACTTTGAAAACACTGTTCTGAATGAAACATGCCAGACACTAAAGTTCACTAGTGTACGATTCCGTTCGTATAAATATCCAGGACAGTCAAATCCATAAAAACTGAAAGCAGATTAGTAGTTGCCAGGGGTGGGAGGAGGGGGGATAGACTCTGGCTGCTGAACAGGTACAAGGTTTCTTCTTCTGGGGGGACAAGATTGCGGAACTAGATTGTGATGACAGTTGCCCAACACTGTGAATGTACTAAATGTCACTAATGGTAAATTTTGTGTTGTGCGTATTTAACCACAACAAAAACAATTAACCCAGTTTTTTAAAAAAATGCAGATGTTCATGTTCCAACTCCAGAGTTTCTGATTCAGTTGGTCTGGGATAGGACCCAGGCATCTACATTTTTCTTTTTTTAAGTTGCACTGGAGATTTCTGATGCTGAAAAGGAAATATCTTGGGTTGGCTGCCCAAGTTTCCCTGAAACACAGAATGAGTAGTAGTGCAATCTGGCAGCCACGCTCATGCAAAAGGATTCACCTCTTTAACCGCAACTGAATGGATCAAATGACCCTTCCCCAGGACTTCTGAAATAGGGCCTTTAGATTTGTGCAACTCAGTAAAAGATGTAACCTTGGGAGATATTGGTGACAGTCATTTTTTGTCATATGGACTGGAAAACAGAGAGAGACAGTGACAGTCTTCATTGAAAGAAGAATGGAGCAAAAACTCAGGAAGTCAACTGGCAGAGAGAGATGCTTTCGTCCCAAGAATGCCAGGCCAGTTTCCAATGGGTTCCTGAGGCCCAGCTGTATCCGTGAGTTCCATGAGGCACTTTAGAGTTCTTTCTCAAATCTCTAACCAACACTGAACAACAGATAGATCTGAAAACTGCTGGACAATAATCAGGTAAAATGCCTATTAAATGTTGATTGGGTGACAATGTAGAAAACAGAAAAGATCAACTTTTTTTTCAGGTATTAGGTTAAACATTTGTTCTATAAAAGATAAAGCCACTTCCACATGACACTAAAAGAATCAAAATATATTCATGTTGCTACCTGTCAAAACCATGTCACTCATTCTTTGGATGAAGGTGGCATTTCAACTGAGTCAATGGGGAAAGAATGTATTATCAATTAAAGTTCATTGCATACCTGCAGAGTCGGGTGCTGTGCTAGGCACTAAGAATACAAAGGCCAGGAAATAAAAAATACAAAAGTATACCCTGCCCTAAAGGAAGAATGGACATTAATCAAATCAACAAATAAATGTAAAATTACTATTGTGCTACATGTCTTATCATGGCAGAAAACATATTGGTTGTTTATCAGTACATATAAAATACAAATGGATTAAATGTGTGTTGAATATAAATTTAATCATCTAAATCCAACATTATTGTTTATATGTACAAATGTATAAAATAAAAAGCAATTTCCAAGATTGTCCAAGAAAAAAACCACTTCAGTGATTTTCTTTAAAAGTGATTAGCATGTGAAGATCTAATCTATCAATTCCTGAGATTCCCTGAATAGTCTATTTTAGGCTAAAGTATAGTGTATTTTGTTAACATTTGTTTGATTCTGGGAAACCCAAAGAAATAATGAAAGTCAGGATGAACAAATACAGACCGTTTCTGCTTTGATGAGATGAAACTGTCTTGGCTGAAAGCCACACGGCTATTATAGAAGCACCCTGCCACCATCCCCCACAACCCTCCCACCATCCACACCTGGCCTGTGGTTGCTTCCTCCCTGGAAGAAATCCTTGAGCAGGAAAATTTACCCTAAATCCCTGTAGTTAAACTCCTAAAAGTGACTGTCAATGGAAAAAATCTTCAGGAAGTGGGATAGGAAAAAGGAGGGGTCCTACATTTAATGGAGAATCTTCAGATCTCTGCCTTCAAGCTCCCATAACCCCTCCCTTAGCTTTGGACCACACTGAGCTGGAAGGTCTGACAAGATAAGGACAGAAAACAAAAACCAAAACCTACAACAACCCTGAAAAGATGGAGGAAAGCTTAGACCTGCCATTCCTACACCTAACACCTCAGAGTTAAAATTCAGTTAGCACTCGCTTGTAATTTTTGGATTAGCAAAAGTTGTCGATTATAGATATTAAATTCACAAATGTTGATTAACTGCTTAGGATGCCAGATAGCACACCAGCAATGAAAACAAGAATCCACAAAACACTCTGAAATCTCCTCCTGGCTTATATGCTAATTCCCCAAAGTCTTTTTGTGTTCTCAGGTGATAATGCAATTGCAATTCATAGCCAGTGAATGGTAGACTGTAGGCAGTGGCTTAGAGGAAAATTAAGCACTATTATTTATTCTAATCCACTTCTGTTTGCCTTGGAGTTTTCTTTTCCCATCCAACCGGTTATAGCCAGATATTACAGTGCTGAAGAAAGACATTTATTTACCAGTGTGACTGTAACACACTCACCTTATTTAGTATGTCCCTTTCTCTCAGAAGCTCGTCCATTGCCTTTCTATCAAGTTCTGCTTGTTTCTTTGAAGCCTCCACCTCTAAACCCCCAGGGAGAAAAAACAATAATAAATGTAGAGTCGATCTAAGAGAATCTACAAAAGCTGAAGTGAAACAAAAACTGCTTTACATGTTCGTCTCTAGCTATAAAACTACTATTAACCGAGTGTATGTGACCTTTGGTATAACCAAGTGAGGTAGGTCTCCCTCTCTCACTAAAGAGATGGAAACTGAGGCTTACAGAGATTAATCCATTTGCCAAATGTCTGAAGCCAACAGGTGACAGGGCTAAGATTTCTCTAATGCCAAAATGTCTTTGCTCTTTTTTTTTTTTTTTTTTTTTTTTTTTTTTTTTTGAGACGGAGCTTTGCTCTGTCGCCCAGGCTGGAGTGCAGTGGCGCAATCTCGGCTCTGCAGCCTCCACCTCCCAGGTTCAAGGGATTTTCCTGCCTCAGCCTCCAGAGTAGCTGGGACTACAGGTACAGCACCACCATGCCTGGCTAATTATTTTTTGTATTTTTAGTAGAGACAGGTGAGGACAAGCTCTGATTTTTTTTTTATCTTGCCCAAATTCCTATCTAAGAGGTCGGGGGAGTCATGCCCTAAAACCATAAATTCTCATCTAATGGGTTTTATTTCACCCTGTATATCATGACTTACTTTCCAATCTGACTGTGGCATAACAAGGAAGAAAACTGAAATATTTAACCCCAAAATATATTTCCTTGCCATACCTTGAAACTGCCCCGCAAAGTCTCTTGTGGGAAAAATCCACATTCTATAGAGAATCCCCTTTTCCCTTGTTTTCCTTCCTTTCTTTCCAGATCCAGGAAATAATCAACAAAGAGCTAAACACACTTTTAGGTCAAATAAGAAACATTTTACAACCTGCTCTCTCTGAAGTCTGCTGTCTAAGAGCTTCCTCTGCACAATAAAACTTGGTCTCCACAGTCCTTTACCTTAGCCTGAGCATTTCCTTTCTGTTGATCCCAGGTCTTCAGATAAATTCAACTGATTGTCAATCGGAAAATGTTTAAATTTACCTATAGCCTGGAAGCCCCCTACCCACTCCCCAACCCCCGTTTGAGTTGTCCCGCCTTTCTGAACCAAACCAATGTATTTCTTAAATGTATTTGATGGATGCCTCATGCCTTTCTAAAATATATAAAACCAAGCTGTACCCCAACCACTTTGGGCACATGTTCTCAGGACCTCCTGAGGCCATGGTCAGTCACATGTGGCTCAGAATAAATCTCTTAAAATATTTTACAGAGTTTGATTCTTTCGTCAACACTGGGTTTCACCATGTTGGTCAGGCTGGTCTCAAACTCCTGATCTCAGGTGATCTGCCTGTCTCAACCTCCCAAAGTGCTGGGATTACAGGCAGGCATGAGCTACTGCACCCGGCCCCTTGCTCTTTTTAATGTTTTTTATTATACAAGTAAATAGAAATACAGAACGAAATTAGAAATTCAGATAAATGGAAGTGAAAAAATTTAAATCAACCAGAATCTACTTAGTATTTTAATATGTCTCTTTCCCAGCTTATTCTTATGTAAATATACATGTGTACATAAACCTAAATATATTTATATCTATAATTTATAAATATATATATATATTTGTAAGTACACATACACCCCAAAAGGAAATTATAAGTATATATAGTACACTCCATATTCTGTATAGAGATTACAGAATATAGAAAATTTTTCCTTTTATTTCATTTAATCTCTCAATCTTGGTTTTGTGGTTTCAACATTTGGTGTTGAGCTTTTCCCCAAAAAACAGAAGCTTATTGTACACACAGTATACTATTTTGTAGCTTGCTTTTATAATTAACAAGCATAGAATAGAATAAATGCCTTTCCATACTATAAATGTGCATCAGCATCCGAATTTTTAATAACTCCATGGTTTTTCACTGTGTGAAAATACATAATTTATCTTTTTCTTTCTTTTTTTTGCAGTTATAAGCAACAATCCTGTGAAAGTTCTTACTCATATTTTTCCTGTAGAAGAAGTCCTAGATCAAAGGGGATTTTTAAAAGACATTTCTCTGCTACTGCCAAATTTCTCTCTAGAAAATTAATAGCAATTTAAATCCACACCCAAATCACCCCTGGATATCATCATTCTCTTTGATCTTTGACAGTCTGATAGATGTTTAAAAACCAATATGTCAGTATTTAATTTGCATTTCTTTGCTTAGTAGTGAAGTTTACTACTTCTTCATGTTTAATGACCATTTATTTGTATTTCTGTTTTTCAAATTGCCCAATTTGCCCTTTACCAATTTCTCTCATAATATGTTTATCCTTTCTGGATTTTTTTTTTTTTTTCTGAGACAGGGTCTCGCTCTGTCACCCAGGCTGGAGTGCACACTGGAGTGTGCAACTACAGCTCATTGCAACCTCTGCCTGTCAGCCCCCTGAGTAGTTGGGACTACAGACATGTGCCAACATGCCCAACTAACTTTTATCTTTCTTTTTTTTTTTCTGGTAGAGACGGGGTTTTGCCATATTGCCCAGGCTGGTCTCAGACTCCTGGGCTCAAGCAATCCACCCACCAAAGTCTCGTAAAGTGCTGGGATTACAGGCATGAGCCACCACTCCCGACCTTTTTTGTGGACTTTTAAAAGAAGCCCTTCACATATAATAAAGAGCTTTGACAATCTTTTAGTCAATTTGGCTTCATTTATAGAGAATACAGAATATAGACAATTTTGATTTTTATTTCATTTAATCTCTCAATCTTGGCTTTATGGTTTCAACATTTGGTATTGACTTTTTCCCCCAAAACAGAAGCTTATTGTCATGCCATTATTTTCTTAATAATCCATACTGCACACTGGTGTGAAACAACACTTTACCTTAGATGATAATCCTGGGTCTTTTCTTGCCTTTCCAATCTTTTTCATTGATCTGTTTATCTGGACATCATCGCTACATAATTTGATTATTGAAGCTTTATAATACATTTACACATCTGGGAAGGCAAATCTTCCCTTATTTCCCAGATTTCATTTCTATTTTGTATTCTATTTCATTTCTATTCTATTCTATTTCATTTCTATTTTCATAAGTTTGTTCTTCTGGAGGCACTCTAGAATCAATTTTTGAGTCCCATACAACATAACTCACTGAATTTTAAAGAGACTCACTCTCTCACCCAGGCTGGAGTGCAGTATGTGTGATCATAGCTCACTGCAACATTGACCTCCTGGACTCAAGTGATCCTCCTGCATCAGCCTCCCAAGTAGCTAGAACTATAGGCATGTGCCACTACAGGTGCACAGGAGCATGCTACCACACCTGGCATTTTTTTTTTTTGAAGAGAGAGTACCTCAATATGTTGCCTAGACTGGCCTTGAACCCCTAGCCTTAAGCGATCCTTCTGTCTCAGCCTCCCAAAGTGCTGGGATTATAGGTGTAAGCCACCGTGCCAGGCCCCAACTCACTGAAATTTTTTTGGAAAAATTAAATATATAAATTAACTTGGACAGATTTATATTTTTATCCTATTGAGTTTTCTCATCCAGTAACTTGATATATCTCTCCATCTTTCAAGTCTTCCTTTATACCCCTCAATAGAATTTTGTGGTTTCTTAAATATATAGATCTTGCAGATATCTCGGTAACTTTATTCACAGATATTTTATTACTTTAGTTGCTATTGTGAAGAGAATTTTTTCCATCATATACTCTAACTGATTTTTTTTGGTATGAAAAAAAGCTATTGATATCTACATATTTATTTTATAACCTCCCATTCTACTGAACTCTATTAACCTCTCTTATTAGTTCTGGTAGTTTTTCAGTTTATTTCTTGGTTTCTGTGGTAGAAAATCCTAACATGTAGGAAGGAGCCCCATGCTCCTAACCGTTATGCCCAGTGCCACTTTTTGATTGAACACACCAAAAGAACATGATCCCTAAGAAGAAATAACAATGTTGATGACACCTATAAAGTAGTCAAAAGAGAGAGAATGGTAACTTTGTATACATGATTTAAAGATGAAGAGTTGGGCTTAACGCCAAATGGGTAAAACTTCTTTTTCGAAAGCTTAGAACTATTGCAAGCAAATAGAAGTTTAAATATGGAAGTATTTTGATAGCCAGTTACCAAAAAAATGCTCTTATAGTTCCATTTTTCTTCATATCTGTCACAGAAAGTATTAGATTGAAAACTCACACTAGACTGTAGGTATCCTGAGGGCAAAGCCCTCCATGCACCCAGCACCTAGAATAATGCCTGCCCACAGTTTGGGTTTGATTTATTGAATGGATGAACAGAGAAACTGTTGAGATAGGCTGCAACTGCATCTCAATAAAACATTATTTCTTGATGTCTTAGAAGGAAAAATATCCACCAAGACCTAAGTGACAAAATTTTTTTTTTTTTTTTAAACAGAGTCTCACTCTGTCACCCAGGCTAGAGTGCAGTGGCACAATCTCGGCTCACTGCAATCTCCACCTCCCAGGTTCAAGCAATTCTCCTGTCTCAGCCTCCCAAGTAGGTGGGATTACAGGCACCCACTAGCATGCCCAGCTAATTTTTGTATTTTTAGTAGAGACAGGGTTTTACCATGTTGGCCAGGCTGATCTTGAACTCCTGATCTCAGGTGATCCACCCACCTCAGCCTCCCAAAATGCTAAGATTACAGGCATGAGACACCGCGCCCTGCCTTAATTTTTTTTTAAGACAGAGTCTCACTAGTGACAAATATTTCTAGTAATTCTATCCAGAGATTTAGATTGTACCTAACTTTTAGTGAGGAATATATGCTTTTGTGCTTTTACGTATGTTGTCTCATTCAGTGATTGACAACTGACAGCCACCTGGGTAAAGTCAACGGGACACAGATGTTCCTGCCTCACACACTTCAGTTTCACAAGTGCTCTGTGTTCACTTATTTCACCCCAACCACCAGGTGTGGGGAGATGGGATCTAAACCCAGGCAGCTCTGACTCCAGGGTTTGAGTCCCTACTGACTTCTCTGTACCTCCCTGTGACACTTAGATTTTCCCTTCACAGGTGGGTTATAACTGAGTAAGACAGGGGTTCACCACATGGCAAAGTACTGACAGAGAAAAGATGTTAGAAGCCATTCATTTTTGTTCCACTGATTCTTACTGCAATATTGTCCCAGATACTGCTAATGAAGGACATTCATTCTAATGTATCCACTATCTTCTGTGGAAAAGAAGAACTAAAGCAGGTCATGTGAACCTCAGACATAAAAGTTTAGATGCTGTTTATTCCATGGACAAATACTGAGCAATACTTCAGGCTGGATTTTCATTTTTGCCAATGGAACCTGTGGAAGAACTGTTTAAGGTAAGAGTTTAAGGTATTCAAAATGATGCCCCCCACCCACCCCATATTGACTGTTTACCAGTGTGAGTGTTGTTTTACTGATTTCATTTGGCATGGGTTGTGTTTGTAAACATCGGTTACAAGATAACATCAGTCACCAATAAAATGTTTCTAAATGAATGAAAGCACAAAATGGTTTACCTCTCTCTAATCCCACGATCTGATTTTTTAGGGTTTCTTTGTGCTGTTCGACTTCTGCCTTTTGATCTTCAATGTGGTGCAGTTTCTTATGGATTTGTTCTCTGATTTTGTTGAGCTTCCCGATGTCAAGGCGCATTTGATGGACTTCTTCCTCTTTGGCCTGTAATTAGTGAGAAAGAATTAATGAGACACTTTGTAAACGAAGAGCCAGGAACTGGATGATGGTAAACTCAGAACCAATAAAAGGAAATTCTTCCCATGGCAATGTAAAGTTGTTCTGTGAGATTAAATCAAGCATACACAATTTGGTTTTGAGAGAAATTTAAAAACTCTGTTCACTGAATAAAATATGTGGTTATGTTTTATATTTTTATAAACTAAAAATAATAAAAAGACTGAAAAATTTTGTTTCAAGTCACCATCTGAAATGGTTTTGCTGTGTCCCCACCCAAATCTCATCTTGAATTCCCACGTGTTGTGGCAGGAGCCTAACGGGAGGTAATTGAATCATGGGGGCAGGTCTTTCCCATGCTATGCTCATGATACAGACTAAGTCTCACAAGATCTGATGGTTTTAAAAAGAGGAGTTCCCCTACGCAAGTTCTCTCCCTTTGCCTGCTGCCATCCACATAAGATGTGATTTGTTCCTCCTTGCCTTCCACCATGATTGTGAGGCCTCCCCAGTCAAGTGGAACTGTAAGTCCAATTAAATATCTTTCTTTTGTAAATTGCCCTGTCTTGGGTATGTCTGTATCAGCAGCATGAAAATGAACTAATACACCAACTAATTGTAGAATCAAATAAGATAAGAATGCTAAGTTATATGTATCAAAAATATGTGAATTTTGTATATAGTATTTAATTAGCAATTTTCATGGACTTATGAAGTGACTTCTCTCAGAAGGTTATTAACATCCTATAAAATATTCAAACACTCTTTTGAACTCACTGGGCCATTGTAGGTCAATTATATACACTAGAGAAGGGGTCCTCCTTCCTCAAAGTATGTTAGTCTGTAGGTATACATATGGATAAGTGGACCAGATATTTCATAGTATGAATAGGCAGTCTATAAAATGGCAAACAGTCCCCCAAAAATAATCCCAGCAAAGAAAAGCACCTGATTTTTGCCTACAGACTTCAAGCTTTCCAGATTTTGGAAATCTTAATTAAATTCACTTTTTAAAAATTTTGCCATTAGAAGTGACTAGAAGAGCAGCTGGGATTCTTTTGCAAACAAAGGTTAGCAATTATCTCTGCTCATAACAATGAAGAGACTAAAATTAGCTGTTCATGTTATCCTCAGATTATTGCTAGAGGCTGAATCCCATCAGGCTAATGATCTAATAACAGAAATAGTCCATCTTTCAAAATGCCCCATTCATGCTACTAAGGGAAAGAATTAATGGCATGAGTCTTTTTCCTTTAATTTTACCTTAGGGGCTAATATATTATTTTGACTTAAGTAGTCATCTCATCTCTGCTTTAACTTATTGCATTCTCATAAAGAATGGTTTCAAGTCTACCCATTCTGGGCTGTTTTAAACGTTTTTCAGCGTCAGACCCTCAGACCCTATAGGGTTCAAATTAGTTGATGTTAAGGCCTCCTCCAGTTCTAAGATGTTCTAATTCAGTGGTTATTAATCCAGACCCCACAGTTAAGACTTCAGAAAAATCCTGGAAACCTCTCCTATTTTTGGGATGCATGCAACACAAGATGTAAGATACGCAAATAAGTGTGTGCATGTGTGTATTACCATCAGATTCTCAAAAGAGATTGTGATACAAAAATGTTATGGTTCTCTGCTCAAATCTATGTATTATTCATATATATATACACACACACATACACTTTAAGTTATCGGGTACATGTGCACAACATGCAGGTTTGTTACGTATGTATACATGTGCCATGTTGATGTGCTGCACCCATTAACTTGTCATTTCCATTAGGTATATCTCCTAATGCTATTCCTTCCCCCTCTCCCCACCCTACGGCAGGCGCCGGTGTGTGATGTTCCCCATCCTATGTCCAAGTGTTCTCGTTGTTCCATTCCCATCTATGAGTGAGAACATGTGGTGTTTTATTTTCTGTCCTTGTGATAGTTTGCTAAGAATGAAGGTTTCCAGCTTCATCCATGTCCCTACAAAGGACATGAACTCATCCTTTTTATGGCTGCATAGTATTCCATGGTGTATATGTGCCACATTTTCTTAATCCAGTCTCTCACTGATGGACATTTGGGTTGGTTCTTGCTAGACTACTCTTTTTACATCCAGTATTCTAACATAACCAGAGTAGGGAATATGGATTTTTTCAGAATTAAAGTGACAAACATAAAGCTGCTCTGTTAAGCAGGTAGGTATACAATATATATCAGAGTATAAATTGTTATCTAAACTTAATTTGCAAGCACTCTTCAATGATAGCAAGGAGAAGAACAGGAAATCTGTCTCAAAGTATACCTTGGACAGAAGTGAAAATCATGATTCCACAATCCTGTAAGTAAACACTAGGTAGTATCAGTCTCTCCCCCAACAATTCCATCCCACCTTCTCCAACAAGTAGTAAACTATAATCTGAATTTTTTTGCCATTCACATGTATGAATGGATTTCTAGCTTTGAGCAACTGGTTTCTTGCAAGGCTAGTTACAGAGATAGACATCTGAGCTCACTTTGGAAACCATTTGCATAACGATATGATCAATAATCAGGTTTGCAATTTTATAAGAATGGAAGCCATCAAACTCTGCTTCTGGGCATAAAGCAATCACTATAGGCTTGCACCTGCCTCTGATGTGTCAAGGCACCCAGTAGAGCCAACACAGGTTATCCAAGCGAGGGCTCCAATTGCCAAGGCAAACCTGTGTTCATAGGGAATGAGGAAGGAAGAGCTAGGGAACAGACATGTGACTTGGTGTTTACTTTGAGCTCCAATGCCTTCTGTTGGTTTTCTTGGGATAGCTGCTCACAAACCAAACTGTGCTGCTCATTCTCTTGCTGAAGTTTAGCATTTCTCATCTGAAATTGCTCGAGTTCCTTTGCAGCTCTCTCATTCAATATCTGAAAGGGATGGAATGAGCTGGTTAATGCTTTTTAATCTGATTACAATACTTGTATATACACACAGGGGGCCCCACAAACCTCCTGGGAAGATAACAGCAACCCTGAGTTTTTGTCTTTGTAGAAATTGTTCTTAATCCCCAATGAAAGCACTAACGCACTCAAATATGATGAATGTTAAACGGTTGAGGAAAATGATGCCTTCTAATGAATAACACAGTGAGCATAATTTTTTTTTCTGAGAGCCTTGGGAAGTCTTGTTCACAGGTGGTGGATAAATATTTTAATGCCTGTTTGCCATTTGGCAGGCTTTGCATACGCAACAATTGCTATAATCATTGCAAATGAGCTAGAGATTCAAACGGATTTTATAAGCTGTGGGGCTTGGAAGCTACATCTTCAGAAGCAAATCCTGCATTAACATGCCTGCAACATTTTCATCAACAGAACTGTTCACTAACACTAACACAGAGACAATTTTCTTTTAATCTAACTTAACTCAAAACGATGGAACAGCAGCGGAGTGATTTATGTCTGCTTGAGTTCAGTGTCAGCCAGATTTTCCTCTTCTCTGCCTTGACTATCCTGAGCAGATATGGTTTTATAAAAACAAAAGATTATATCTTGGGGGCTCATTTCTATTGGGGGAATATTGAGGAGGTGGAGGGATAGCAAATGAATTGCAGGATAAAAATAGAAAGACAGCTTAAGTAATGTCTGCAAAATATAACTCCCATGCACACAAAAATTAAGCATGAAAAGAATCCAACCAATTCTCCATCAATAGGGACTAAATAAAATGTAACCGGCTATGCTAAAAATGAAATTGTGTTTCATAGGAGGATAGTTTTTATCCTGATGTCCAAAAGCCTCTCTCCTATGTTTCATGCTCAAAGAAGTCTCATGTTTTTCTGCTGGAGGCAGCACATTGTAAATTATCTATTTGACTTCTGGCTTTATATAAAATTAATAGAGCAATGGACAAAAAAAGGTATACTTATATCTATTTTTGAGTATAAAACTGCTATATGGCTTGACAATTCTTTGGAAACAAGCTTCCTGAGGAAAAACATATTTAAGAAAAGACTTTTCAATTATATGAATTGCTTCTTTAAAAAATGAGAGAAAACATAATACAATTACCAATACTTGTGCCACCTTAAACTGCTATAATAGAGAAAGTGTCAAAAACAGTACCATAGTAAAAATAAATAAAGACTGACCATAGTTTGCTAAACTTGAAAATAACTTAAAAATAAACCTATTGGCTGGGTGCGGTGGCTCATGCCTGTAATTCCAGCACCTTGGGAGGCTGAGACAGTTGGATTACTTGAGGTCAGGAGCTTGAGACCAGCCTGGCCAACATGGTGACACCCTGTCTCTACTAAAGATATAAAAATTAGCCAGGCATGATGGCGGACTCCAGCTACTCAGGAGACTGAGGCAGGAGAATCGCTTCAACCCAGGAGGTGGAGGTTACAGTGAGCTGAGATCATGCCACTATACTCCAGCCTGGGCGACAAAGAGACTCCATATCAAAAGAAAATAATAATAAAAATAAAAATAAATAAATAAAAATAAAACTGTTAAAAATAAATTATTATACTCACCCAATGGAATACTGCACAGAAATGAGAGCTTATGGTCTACTGAGCTCTGTCCAGTAGAGCTTTCTGCAGTGATATAAATATTCTCTGCCTGTGCTAATATGGCATCAACTAGCCACCTGTGGCTACTGAGTACTTGAAATTATGCTGGTATAACCAAGGAAATGAATTTTTAATTTCATTTCATTTTAATAAAGTTGAATTTAAATAGCCACTTGTTGCTAAGGGTTACCATATTGGGCATCACAAGTCTATAACTACATGGCAACAACATGAATGAATCTCACAAACAGAATATAGCAGAAGTTAGACACAAAGAATATATCCTGTAATATTTTATTTCTGTAAAGTATGAAAACAGGCAAAACCAAACTCTGCTTAGAATTCAGGATAGCGGTGGTACTTTAGGGGGAGAATGACTAAGAGGGAGCACAAAAGGGCTTCTGGGGGTGCTGGTACTGTTCTGTATCTCCGGCTGGGAGCAGGTGACCAAGATGCGGTTGAGTGGTTAAAATTCATCAAGCTGACTTGTGACATATACTCTTTTCTATATGTGTAGTATAGATCAATAAAAGGTTAAAAAGAAACTTATTAACCTGTTAGAGCTGGAAAATTTAAAAAGGGGGGCATAACTACCTCATAAGAGCCATTCAAAGACCAAATTGCAATGCTAAGTTTTACATCATCACCACGAGTAGTGAAGGGAATTTGCTGCTTTCCAAGAGAATTCAAAATGCACAAATGGGTGTGAACAAAGGTGCCATTCTGGGTTTTTCTTGTTTTTTAGCGAAGGCCCACACCCAACTCACCTTCTGCTCCTTCAGCTGCTGCTCCAGCTTCTGAAGCTCCTCCTTGCTCTTCTGCACATACTGCTGCAGGGCTTTTATTTCTGTCTGCCTGCTGTCCATGTCTGTCTGAATCTGCTTGAGCTCTTTCTCTAGTTTTTCCTTCTTCCGGAACTCCCGGGAAGCTTCGTTCTGACGTTGCTGGATTTCTTGTTGGAACTAGAGGGTGCGGGAAGGACAAGAGAGAAAGAGATGAGCCCTGACCATAGCAGGTCTCAGCCAGCCAAGCCCCACTCCACTCTCTCAGGTCTGTGATTGTCAGGGCAGTCACTTTGCAGTAGCATTTCCCCTATAGGGCAGACATCCTTGAGCCCCAGTGTTCAAACTTTTCAGGAATATTCTATACTGTTTCTCGGGGCCTTGAAACCAAATGACTACTCTGATGGTGGGCAACAAATCCACAAAGTATGGTACAAAATCAAATATATATGGAAGCTCAGAGTTCTAGGGGCATTAAACATGGAAAGAATTCATCCGATTCTCTATCAATAGGGACTAAATAAAATGTGACTAGCTACCCTAACTATAAAATTGTGTTTTACATGACCCTGAATATTGCTAAAGAGAGCACTATACGTTTATCCTGATGTCCAAATTCTATGAAAAGCCTTTTTCTTATCTCATGTTCAAAGAAGTCTCACGTTTTTCTTTTGGGGACTGCACATTGCGTATGATCTATTTGACTTCAGGCTTTATATACAAGTGTTCAGAAGGAGTCCACTAAATGGCTTTCTAATAAAAAATAAATAAATAAATAAATAAATAAATAAATAAATAAGAAAGAAGGGCCAAAGAAACAACTCCCACCATCCCCAGGTGCTGGGCCCCCTGGCCTTCATGGGGATCATCTTTTTGAGCCAGAATTGTAAGTAGGAAGTGCCTGCCTCAGTGACTTCTCAGACAGAGCATGCAGAGAAAGAACAAATCAAGTCGCTCAATTCAAGTAAAGCTCCTCTCCAGAGAACAAACTAAAGAGATAAGCAGAACTGAGGATGCTTCACTTGGGCACAAGGGGGTAAATTTGAGAAAGGAACAAGAAGGGAATAGAGACTGTGGAAGGACAAACATCCCCTGGAAGGAAATCTTCCTTCTTCTTGCCCTCCATGGCAGACCTGACTGATGGTGTGCTCAGCCTCCTCTTTGGATCGCTCTGTCTCCTGCTGCTGTTCAGTGGTCTGAGCTAGGGATTCTCGTAATTTTACCACTTCTGATAAGAGCTGGTCTCTCTCCTTTGTCACTTCTTCTTTGAACTTCAGTAAATCTCGGATGCTAAAAAGGAAGAACACAGGAGTCAGACTAAATGGCCATCCTCTCAGGGGTCCTTCATATCATTCTCTGAGCTCATTTTCATGGGAAAGATGTCAGGTCAATGATTAACACTACTCAGGCATTAAAGAGAAAGATCTTTATGCCATGATATGGGATCAGATTGTGAGATGTTAACTGGAAAGAAGTACTCAAGATAACATGCATAGTATAATTTATGTTTTTATCTTTAAGAAAATACAATGTCTATTCGTGCATGAGAGAGTGTGCATGTGTGTGTGCATGTGTTTGTTTGTGTGTGTGTGTGTTTTACAGACATTTTTACAGAAGCCCAGAAAAACATATCACTGATTATCTCTGAAAAATTTAGGGTGGAAGGTTGTGGAGGTTGATACTTTCCACACCTCTGTATTACTTGAATTTGTTGCAATAAGACTATGTTGCTATTGTGAACTCTGGTAATTAATCCTAAGCAGATATCAATTTAGGAAATTATTTGTTTAATATATCCACTGGAGGGCTATGATCACAGCTATAAACTCTAGAATAAAACATAAACAGAACCAAATAATATGCTTTGCTAGTTTTCTATCCATTTACCCAAAGAGATTAGTTTCTCCCAAATGAATGCAGCCCAGATAAAATGTTACAAAGAACAAAATTGGGAAAATCATTCATGATGCCCATTTTTGGAGGTTATGTGATAATATTCATTGATTTGAATTGTAAACCAGTTACCTCCAAATTTCAAAAGCCATTCCATATGATTTGGCATGACTTCCTGCAGAATTAGCACTTTGCAAGTGGAAGCTCAGTGTCTGATACGACCTCTGCAGCAGAATGAATGTAGAGCAAGGCAGTTCTTGGAGCTGAGAAGGCAGAGGAGAACTTGCACTGCAGACTCTTGCAGCTGACAGTCATCAAACGACTGCTCAAAACACAGTAATTTGACAAAGTGTATTTACCAACACCTCTGATGTAACAAATGTTTAATAAGGAAACTTTAAATCTGCACTCAAATTCTACTCCAGAAATAAAACCTCAAATTCTAAGGTTACTATGAAGACAGACAGTTACGCCTGGGCACACTGTTAAAGATAAAATTATGGGCTGGATTGTTTCTTCAGTTCTCCTCCTCACCCTCTTCCAATGCTTGTTTAAAATGCCTCGTATCGGAATCAGTTCCCTCGCATTCCTCTTCAGTAGTTGCTCTGAATATGCTTGACTTCCTTAACAAGAAGATAAAGCCCACACTACAGGCATCATATTTTCTGTTTTTATTTCCTATTCCCTCTCCCAACACCTGTACTTAGAACTATCTGTCAATGTTGGATCAACACATCAAAAAAGCATAAGAAACTGAAACAGCAACATCAGATCTGGTTAATTTCCTTGGCTGCCCAAGGAAGTGTATGTTCATTCCTGATTCATTCATTGATGCTATGTTTTGCATGCCCCATACAGTGCTGGGCTCCTGGAGGGGATATAAAGGTGTCTTCCTTCAGGGAGTTCACAGCCTAGTGGGTAGAGAAGCACATCAACAAATAATTTTCAATACAATCTGATCAGTGCCATACTGGAGGTAAATGTTGGGTCTTATGGAAATAGAAAACATAGTGACTTTCTGTGTGGTCATTGGAGTTTGGATGTGGAGAGGATGTTGGAAGAGTGATGCTGATGGTGATGAAGTTAAGACTGTTTGAGATGGGTCTTAAAGGAGGCATAAAAGGTGACCATGGGGAGAATGGAAGAAAAGGCATTCTGAGCATGGAAAGCAGCATGTACAAAGGCATGGAGGTGTGAGCAACTTGATGGGCTGGCACGAGGCTAGAGAGGCTGACTGGGGCAGGTTCTCAAAGGGCTCTGGATGACACATTCAAGAGTCTGGGCTTTATCCTTTGGGTATGGGTAGCTATTGAAAGTGTTTATGCTGGGGATAGGTGCACATGTGTTTCAGGAGCCTAAATTTGGTAGCAATGATGGAATAAAGAAGGACATATCTTCTGCAGTCAGGGAGACCAGTTAGGAGGCTACTGCCAAATCTGGCAGAGAATAGGAGGCCTGAACCAAGGCAGTAGCACTGGTGACCAGAAGGAGTGAAAGGCCGTGCTTAGAAGACCAAGTCAACAAGACAGTGGCTTTAAGAGATAGGGGAGCAGCAGGAGGGAAGAGCAGCTCTGTTTTCTGGCCTAGAATCTGAAGGTGGGAGGGATGGTGATGAGATTGATCATGGGGAGTAGGTGGGAGAAGCTGGGACTCTGGGCAGAAAATCAGTCATTTATATTCTACACAAATTGGAGAGAAATAAATAAACCAGCCGGGCACGGTGGCTCAAGCCTGTAATCCCAGCACTTTCGGAGGCTGAGACGGGCGGATCACAAGGTCAGGAGATCGAGACCATCCTGGCTAACACAGCGAAACCCCGTCTCTACTAAAAAATACAAAAAACTAGCCGGGAGAGGTGGCGGGCGCCTGTAGTCGCAGCTACTTGGGAGGCTGAGGCAGCAGAATGGCGTGAACCCGAAAGATGGAGCTTGCAGTGAGCTGAGATCCAGCCACTGCACTCCAGTTTGGGCGACAGAGCAAGACTCCATCTCAATAAATAAATAAATAAACCTAACATCTTACTCATTTTGAAACTATACTACTGAATTCCTATGGAGTCAGAAGTTTAAGATAACCACGAATTAGAAGTTCTTAGGTGTGGAGTAAAGAGCATTACTTAAAATGCAACAGACAGAAAACAATCTCTGAGAACCCAATAAAGAAGAGTTTTGTATCACAGAGAATGTTCAAGAAGACACTGGCAAGCCCCAGGCTGTCTATTGAAGGAGGCCTCTGCAAAAGCAAGTTCAACATACATCAACAAGGCTATGACCTACTTGCTATCCTGATCCATTGACAGTCCAGACCCTTGCTCGACTAGTTTGGTCAGGTTCACTATTTCCTCTTTCAGAGCAAGAATCGTCTCCTTGGCCTTCTGCTCTTTGTCATAGGCTGAGTCCACCATCTTCCAGGCCTTTTCAATTTCCTAGATGGGCCATAGGATATCAGTGAGAAAGACCAAACTGGGTTCTAGATGCAAGATAAACTAGCAAACAGAATAACACCATAACGACAGTGTAGTTGTATAAATGTGCATTGACTAAATTGTTTAACATGAGCTAGTCAATAGTGATTAGCACATTGAAAGAGGAGGACTGGACTGGACATGGTAGTACGGGCCTGTAGTCCCAGCTACTAGGGAGGCAAAGGCTAGAAGACCTCTTGAGCCCAGGAATTTGAAGCTGCAGTGAGCTGCAATCATGCCACTGCACTCCAGCCTGGATGACAGGGCAAGACCCTATCTCAAAAAAAATAAATAAATAAAAATAAAATAAAGTAGGGACTGGCAGAGGGTATTTTTTCTTGTGTAGCTAAGTGTGGCTACAAGGCTCACTTACTGCAAGGTTTGCAAAATTAGAAGTGAAAGTTTATGTGCTTTCCAAGTCCAGATATTAAAAGGAAAAACAATAAATTTTATCACATGAGGAATGATCATAGATCCAAGTCCTAAACTGACAGACTGAATTAAACCTCTCGATAGATTTATAAATAAAAAATACATTTTATCATCTGGTCCCAAGTGAGCTCCTAGTGGCAATGTGAGCTTTAGAACAACCCACACAATGCTGTTCTTTACTGTTACCTAATTGTACCAAACAACCTTGGTAATTCCCATTTTTCAGAAACTCAAGCCCAAGCCTTCTCATCAAATGCTTATATATGGGAAAAAACCCATAACAGGGAATGGAGGCAATGACCCACACAGGTTTGGCTTCCTTACTATTATAAACTGCAATGTGTAATATTGACATAAATACTTAAAAGTGAATTACAGCAGTTCCAGTAAAGGAGCAACGAACAGTAAATTTTGCAACATGACATAATTTGGATGTATGTCCCTGCCCAAATCTCATATTGAAATGTAATCCCCAATGTTGGAGGTGGGGCCTGGTGGGAGGTGATTGAATCATGGGGGTGGATTTCTCATGAACGGTTTAGCACCATCCTCTTGGCACTGTCCTTGTGATGGTGAGTGAGTTCTCACGAGATCTGGTCATTTAAAAGTTTGTGATGCACACATATGTTCATCACAGTGCTATTGACAATAGCAAAGACATGGAATCAACCCAAATGCTCATCAATGATAGACTGGATAAAGAAAATGTGGTACATGTATACCATGAAATACTATGCAGCCATAAAAAAGTACAAGATCATGTCCTTTGCAAGGACATGGATGGAGCTAGAGTCCATTATCCTTAGCAAACTAACACGAGAAATGACAACCAAATACCACATGTTCTCACTTATAAATGAGAGCTAAATGATAAAAACACATGGACACCTAGAGGGGAATAACACACTGGGGCCTTTCAGAGGGTGAAGGGTAGGAGGAGGGAGAGGATAAGGAAACAATAACTAATGGATACTAGGCTTAATACCTGGTGATTAAATAATCTGTACAACAAACCCCCATGCTACACGTTTACCTATGTAACAAACCTGCACATGTACCCCTGTACTTAAAAGGTTAAAAAAAAAAAGTGCGTGACACCTCCCCTCTCCCTCTCTTGCTCCTGCTCTGGCCCATGTGAAGCATCTGCTCCACTTTGCCTTCTGCCATGATTGTTAAGTTTCCTGAGGCGTCCCAAGAAGCTGAGCAGATGCCAGTGTTATGCTTCCTGAACAGCCTGCAGAACCATTAGCCAAGTAAGCCTCTTTTCTTTATAAATTACCCAGTCTCAGGTATTTCTTTAATGCAATGTGATGACCAACTAATATACAACAGCTTTGAGTTTTAGGCTACCACTTAACTTTCTTGCAAAATTCTGTCAAGTAGAATGTGGGTCCTTTAAATAGATAAGAACCTATAAGCTTTAGGTTAAAATATTCCACTTGTATATTGACAAGGAATAAAATGGGTGGAAGAGAGTATTTAATGTAACAAATTCATGGTTACTATTACATTAGACAGATTACCTTGGGTAACTATAACAAATAATTCAGTGATTCAAAGCAAAACATCGGTTTGTGGAATATTTATTATGTAGCAACCATATGTGCTATGTTTAGCAACACAAATGAAAGATATTTACATTAAAAAAAGATTACAAAAGTTTTCTCCAAATCAACTTTACTAATTAGATTTTAATCCATTCATGACTTCCATTTCCAGATTTTGTTTGTTTTGGGGTTTTTGTTTTGTTTTGTTTTTTGAGACAGAGTCTTGCTCAGTTGCCAAGGCTGGAGTGCAGTGGCACAATCTCGGCTCACTGCAACCTCCACCTCCTGGTTCAAGTGATTCTCCTGCCTCAGCCTCCCAACTAGCTGGGACTACAGGCACATGCCACCACACCCAGCTAATTTTTGTATTTTTGGAAGAGATGGGGTTTCACCATGTTGTCCAGGCTGGTCTCCTGACCTCAAGTGATCCATCTACCTCGGCCTCCCAAAGTGCTGGGATTACAGGCATGAGCCACCACTCCCCGCCCATCATCAGTTTTTAAATTTGCAATGAAAAAATTTTTTTCCATTATAAAACAACTTAAAGCCTTCTTATATTGGTTTTTCAGCAAGGATGGAATAAAGAAGGACATGTCTTCTGCAGGCAAGGAGACCAGTTAGGAGGCTAACATGACAATAAATTTTAAAATAGCACTTAAAAGTGAATAGTTTCTAAGATAATTGATAATCCATATTTAGTACTGGACTTAGAAATTCATTTGAACTGGGTGGCATCTAATTGCATGATATCAAGGCAACTGTCTAAAAATTTTATAAATTGTTTCTCATATTTAGGGTTTTAATTATGTTTCAACCTCTTATCACCATGAGTCAACAAGGAACGTTTATATTTTACCTTCAAAATAATGCAACACATTTAAGGATGAAAAAAATCTAGTGTAAAACAAGGCAATACATCCTCAGTATCCCCAGACTGAATCTCTGTTCTTCTATTATGAGGAACTGGGAGGATTGAGAGGAAAGAAAAGGGGTGCTAGGAAGAAAGGTCATGAAAATTACTACCTGGGAATTCTCAAGGCAATCTTTACTAAAACAGCAGAAAAAGCAGAAATATGAAAATATATTTAACAGTTAAACTATCATCATGAGGTATTAAATTACTCATCATGCATCAAATAAGACATTGAGATTCCAAATATTGCATTTACTTATCTCTAAATCTTTTCCCAGAAACCAAGCCAGTAAGATTCTCCATTATTTTCTGCATGATGTGATTCACCCAGGCTAAAAAATCATTTTCTTTGAGAATGAACATTATTCCTTAGGCTTAATGAATATAAAATCATGTAAATTTTTACCTAATAACTCATTTACTACCAGCCTAGAGGTGCCAATGTAATGAGAGAATGATGTTTTAAATTCAGGTTCATTCCATTTCTAGAAGATCACTGACCTTCTTTAGGGATGCAATGGTGGTCTGATCGTCCTGAGAGAGCTTAAGGGCAGTGGCGACCTTCGCGGAATTCACTACAATCTCTGCATTTAGCTCTCTGCATTTGGCCATCAGACGCTTTTCATTGTCATAAGACTTTTTCATGACAGCATGAAGCCTCTCATATTCAATCCGAAATTTTTCCAGACTTTTGTCTCCTGAAAGTTCATTAAGAACTCCCTGAAAATCTCTTTCCATTTCTTCAAATGCAGATTCTTCCAGGACTTGCTTTTCACCCTTTTCCTATAGAAAAAAAGCAGAGATGGGAAAGGGCATTGCAACATTTACATCATTACTATCAAGGAATTACTGCTATTATCTCTGAATGAAACACCTCCATACGAGCAAAATTAAAACCACTGATAAGCAGAAAAATTAAGATTATATGAAAGGAAAGATCCTTGTTCAGACCTTGATGCTTATGTACATATATATGTGTGTACATATATATACACACATACACATTATACATTTATACACATTACATATATATACATATAGGCATTGGAATATATATGCAGAATATATATGCATTAGGATAATAACAGTTCCCACCACATGGTGTTGCTAAGGATTAGATTAAATGAGATCACTGATGTTAAATACTTAGCCAAATGCCTGGCGAATGGTAGGAATTCAATGAATTTTCAGAGCTGTTATGATTATTCCAACCCTAGTCTCTTTTCATTGGGCCCTGCTTCTTATTGCCCCTAAGACTGCAAAGGGCGGCGGGGGTGGCCACGGTGTGTTGAGGCCAGACATAGGAAGATCTTGGCATAGATATCATGAAATCACATATACAGTGAAACTCATCTGAAATATGGACTTGTCTTCCAAAAGAGATTCCATCATTTTTATCCCTCAGAAATGTAGGCTAGGTCATGCCCCCACGGTGTCCTAAAATGCCCCTGTGCAATACTCATGGAACTTTTCCACATTTGCTTTCCATGGTTAGATGGGAAACAAATTATTTCAAAATACAAACCCAGACATATAGATATAATTCAAGCAAGTCTGGCTATTACTTAGATGAGAACCTAAGAGTGAGTTATATCAGAATTCTTCTTTCTCTACTTTTCGGGGTTGAACTGTGTCCCCCAAAAAGGTATTTTGAAGTCCTAACTCTGCTAATCTGACCTTAATTGGAACAGAGTCATTTAATAAGTTAAGATGAGCTCAGACTGGAGTAAGCCACCCAGTTTGTGGTGCTTTGTTATGGCTGCCCTAGCAAACAAATCCACCTACTCCTTGTTATGTACAACATAATAATGAAGAAGAATGGGTGTGGTTAATATATTTATTCATTCATTGAGCAAGTATTTACTGAACATCTGCCATATATAAATTCTGTGATGGATTCTGTAAGAGATACCAAGATGAAGAATAAACAGCTTATCCACAGGGAATTTATACTTAATTCCTGGTGGAGTATGAATGCAGTTAATGAAAGCATAGAATTTGATTTGATCCCTATCATAAAATGTATTCAAAGTTCTCTATGAACCCACAGAAAGAGAATTATTCCCAGCAGCAAGAATAAAAAAAAAAAAAATCTTAGAAAAGAATTGGCATTTGAGCAGGCCCAGAAGGAAAAGTGGAATTTTCACAGGGGAATATGGAGAAAAGGGGCATTCCCAGCAGATGGCAAAGCTTGAGCAAAGCTCAGTGCCAAGCAAGTATCCAAGTTGGCTAAAGAATAAGAGGGATGAACGGAACAGAAGAGAGTCCAGAAATAATGTGGCACAGCTACAACCATCTGATTTTTGACAAAGTTGACAAAAAAGCAATGGGAAAAGGATTCTTTATTCAATAAATGGTGCTGGGATAATAGGCTAGCCATATGCAGAAGATTGAAACTGGACTCCTTCTTTCCACCACGTACAAAAATCAATTCAAGATGTATTAAAGACTTAAATGTAAAATCTAAAACTATAAAAACCCTGAAAGATGACCTAGGAAATACCATTCTGGACATAGGCCCTGACAAGGATCTCATGACGAAGATGCTAAAAGCAATTGCAACAAAAACAAAATTGACGAATGGGACTTAATTAAACTAAAGAGCCTCTGCACAGCAAAAAACAAACAAACAAACAAAAAACTATCAACAGAGTAAACAGACAACCCACAGAATGGGAGAAAACATTTGCAAACTGTGCATCCAACAAAGGTCTAATATTCTGAATCTATAAGGGACTTAAATAAAATAGCAAGCAAAAAACAAACATCCCCATTAAAAAGTGGACAAAGGATATAAACAGACACTTTTCAAAAGAAGACATACAGACAACAAGCATATGAAAAAAATGCTCAACATTGCTAATCATTAGACAAATGCAAATCAAAACCACAATGAGATACCATCTCACACCAGTCAGAATGGCTTCATTAAAAAGTAAAAAAATAACAGATGCTGGCAAGGTTGTAGAGAAAAGGGAACATACTCTGCTGGTGGGAATGTAAATTAGTTCAGCCATCATAGAAAGCAGTGTGACAATTTCTCGAAGAACTTAGAATTACCACTTGACCCAGCAATTCCATTATTGGGTATACACCCAAAGGAATATAAATCATTCTACCATAAAGACACATGCATGCGTATGCTTATCACAGCACTATCCACAGTAGCAAAGACATAGAATCGACTTAAATGTCATCTACAGTAGACTGGATAAAGAAAATATGGTACATGGGCCGGGCACAGTGGCTCACACCTGTAATCCCAGAACTTTGGGAGGCCAAGGTGGGTGGATCGCCTGATGTCAGGAGTTCAAGACCAGCCTGGCCAACATGGTGAAACCTCATCTCTACTAAAAATATAAAAATTACCTGGGTGTGGTGTTGGGCACCTGTAATCCCAGCTACTCGGGAGGCTGAGGCAGGAGAATCGCTTGAACCAGGGAGGCAGAGGTTGCAGTGAGCCGAGATTGTCCACTGCACTCCAGCCTGGTAACAGAGTGAGACTCCATCTCAAAACAAAAAAGGAAAAATGTGGTACATATACACCATGGAATACTACTCAGCCATAAAAAAGAATGAGATCATGTCCTTTGCAGCAACATGGATGGAGCTAGAGGCCATTATCCTAACTAATGCAGGAACAGAATACCAAATACATGTTCTCACTTATAACTGGGAGCTAAACACTGAGTACACATGGACACAAAGAAGGGAACAGACACTGGGGCCTACTTGAGGGTAGAAGTTGGGAGGGGGTAAAGAACTGAAAAATTACCTATCAGGTACTGTGCTTACTACTTGGGTGATGAAATAATCTGTATACCAAACCCTTGTGACATTCAATTAACCTATATAACAAACCTACATATTTATCCATGAACCTAAAATAAAGGTTTAAAAAAGTCTGTGCACATTTTAGAAAAGGATAAGAGGTATGACAGGGAGAAGGAAGCAAACACTAGCTAGGGAGTTACAGACACACAGTGAAGACACTGAATTACATTCCAAGGAGTATGGATTGCATTACTCTGCAAGCCACAGGGAACCACTCAATACTTTTGAGCAAAGGACTCATAAGGCTTGCAAGGCCTTACTTACATTTGCGACATTATGTTTTAATATTCTTCTCTACAAAGGGCCTTGGTATCAATACTCTCTTGCTGAAAGAAACCAACTGAAACTATCTCTAGTCCCAATAATAAAGTAAAATTTCAATTCACCCTGAAGGTTTTAAGGAGTCTCGTTTACCTTCTATTTGACAAGCCTGTCTTGCCCAATATGGAGAAAGTCTAAATATTTTTGGTTTTCAAAAACACTTGTACTATTAATTAAATCTCTAATGATGACATGCAAGCAAAACACAGTCTTTGTAAATTAAAATAAATGTAGAGTCACAAGCATATCTATAGCATTTTGTATAACAACTTTAGTACTAATTTTAAATTCACATAGGTTTTTCTTCCTGACTAAAAGCAGATTATTGCAAAGACCACAATGTAATGATTCCACAAAGGAAGAAAAACCATATTAAGGAAATATGGTGTTACTGCTGCTCTGTGCTTCTCCCTTGTTGATGCTAAACATAAGCACACACAAAAATTTATCACTACAATGTTCTTGGTTCCATCCCTGTAAATGGTATTAATGTCAACACCTGATCAGCAGCCTAATGATTTGTTTGCAGTCCAAGTTTTACCTATTTACCTGGCACTTAGCACAGGAATGGAAAAATACCAAAGAAAGAAAAGTTTTGAAGAAACTTGTAGGAACAAAAGAGATTTGTTCTTATTGTTATTAAAAAGTATATTACTTTTAAAAGCAAAGGAAAAATAATCTCTTAGCTTTGGCCAATAAACAGTTGATATTTCCACTGTTATAGTATATAACAATATCTGTTTCAGAAGCATGAAATCAACATGAACCGATCAGAAAGGAACTGTGGCATTTATTTATTCTTCACCTATTCACTGAGTGTTTGCTATGTGCCAGGCACTGTCCTGTCCTAAATTCTGGGAATATCAATTAGTGGGGAGAAGGAAAAGGAAAAAGGAAAAGAGAACTGCAATATAAGGTGAGGCCAGAGGGAAAATAGAGAATTGTGAAAGCAGAGGCGAGAAAGTTGGCTGAGGTCAAGTAAGAAGAAAAGCAGAAGAAAGGAAGAAACGAGAGGAGTAACAGAGAGAGGGAAATGGAAATAACTAATCCAAATAGTGGAGGAGCTTCTGAGGCCCGCACCTGGGCAGGGTTCCTCAGAGAAATATGCAAATATACCCTGAATAGGGCAGAGCCAAGGAAATGAGGGGGTGGTGCCTCTGGGAGGCTGGGGCTTCCCTACTGGGACTGAAGAATCAAATAAACAAAGATGACTAGTGGGAGAAAAGAGGAGAAAACACTCAAAAGCAATAATGGGACAATAAAGAACTAGAAGGAAGAAGAAAGGAAATGGAAAGAAAGAGATACAAATGACAATGGGTAATGGGGAGAAGTGATGTGGCCACAGCAGCATGGATGTCAGAGAGAGATGAGAGTGATGGAGCCCAGGAGTGAGGAAAACGGATGATAAGAAAGAGATCGTATGATGAGGAAAGGAAGGAGGTGTTGATCACAGGAAGATGGAATTTATAAAGCTAGAGAAAGAGGAAAAGCAATGATGAGGGGATGTGAATGGTGCAGAGGAAGCAAGGGAGTAACTAGAACGGGGTGGGGGGTGTGGAGCATGATGGTGCTGAAAGAAGATGGGGCTTGGGCTGGCTTCATGGGAGTGAAAACTGGTCAGTTGCCCAGGGCCCCTTGCTCAGAAAGGTCCCATTCTTGGTTGAATGCTCTGTTGTTCTGTCTTAAAATTCTTTGTAATTTTTGAAGAGATTTTGTGTTTTCACTTTGCATCAGGCCTTGCAAATCATGTAGCTGGTCCTGGCTGGAACAGACCATGGGATGGGTGATAGGCGAAGGGCTCTGATGGGGCCATGAAGGATTTAGGTAGGGCAACAGTGGATGGGGACTGTGAATGGCAAGTAATGACAGGGACCCGAGGCTCTTGAGGTTATAAATGAGGGGGCTGGGGGGCAGGCAGGGTGTCATTGAAGGGTTGCAGAAATAACCCCTCATTAGAGAGGCTGAAAATGGGGTGTACTGTAATATGGGGGAGTGGTGGGGTGATACAAGATGTTAACACAGGAGTCAATGAGCACACAGGGCAGTGGTGTTGGGCAGAAGAGCCTTAATGAAGATGTGTGACAGCAGGTGATCATATGTTAGGAAATCAGGGTGTGACAGGTGGAAAGGGCCATTGATTGGGATAACAGCAGGCATCTGTGAAGCCTTCGTCCAGGTTTCTCCTGTGAGATAAGACATCTCCAATATTTCTGTGTGAGCCTCTCTTGTGGTATCACTCCATGACTAAAGATCTAGGGCTGGGTGCATGTCACGTGTGGATTTCAGAATTCACTAATTTCCTACCACACTTAGCATAACGCAGATGCCACAGTGGGGGTAGGGGGGTGTCCACACAATTGAAGGAGAAACAGGAGGTAAAGGGACCAGAGCCAACGGAGAAAGGCGGGGGAGTGAGTGAGGGTGCAGACAGATAAGATGTTGATGAGGGGGAATATTGGAATCACCGTTTGTAACAATCGTCAGCAGGAGAGGGACAATGGGGAGGGGTCAAGGGAGAGGCGACAGAGGGGCGCTGACTCCTGACCTCAGCCATCCTGATGCTCTCTGGGGGCGGCCTCAGAGGCTGCTGTGGAGATCGCAGGAGCTGGGCGGGAGTCTGGGAAAGAAGCTAAAGGCGCGACGTGCTGTCTCTATCGCCCGCCCCGAGCGGAAACCCGCGCTCGGCGAGTCGTCCCGTCGCCTGGCAACCGACACGCCCTCTAGGGGCGCTAGCGGGAATTCGAAAGGGGAGGAGCTTCTGAGGCTGGCACCTGGGCAGGGTTCCTCAGAGAAATATGCAAATATCTCCCGAATGGGGCGGAGCCAAGGAAATAAGGGAGCGGTGCCCCTGAGAGGCTGGGAGGAGTCCCACAGTGCGGGCAGATGGAGACACCCAGGAGAAAGAAGTGGGCGAATGGGAAGAGGCCACCCAGAAAGGACGGTGGGGGACTAGGGAGCCAAGCATGGAGAACCGAGGACTAACGCTTGGAAGGAAATGTGGAGCAGAAGTTTCTGGATGAGGGAAGGACAGACGGCTACTCTCTGCCTTCTAAGACAACGAGGAATAATCTCACTTCCAGTCAGTTCAACCCTTGTAAAACAGCTACTATGTGCAAGACACGGAGGGACAGCTGAAGTAGAGAAACCACAGATGCAGTCTTCAAAGGATTTAATCTAATATTAGTGGTGAGAAAAATAGGGTGCAGAGCTTAAGATATCCTGGAAAAACGTATGTAGCACCACATCACGAAAATCTTTCTTCTGGGATCCCACTCCCAAAACCGTTTCTTTGCCCTCTTTTCTCCCCTCTGCCTCCACTCTTTCTGGACTTCAGGTACAAATAGTTGAAATAATTATACTCCTTGGTTCGTGAAATGTGTAAGACTCCTATCTGGTTTTATTTTCTCCCTTTATCCCCACCCCTACTCCCAACCCCTATCCTCAACCCCATAGGTATTCATGCTACTGTGCTTCCATATGTATTTTTGGGAAATGTACAGCATTTTTATCAGTGTATTTTTAAAAAATGTTTAAATAATGCTACTGGACTTTGGAGATTATCTTATTTTCCACTTTTTTCACTCAACATTCTTTTTAAGGATCTGTCCTCGTTGCGATCGGCAAGCATATTCTAGTTCATTGCTTCTGAGTACTGCACAGCGTTTCAGAAGGGGCATCTACCACACTTCACTTCCATTCCCGAGGTGTTAGGTAACAAGGCTGCCTCTAATTCTCCAATACATCAGGTAATACAGCCACAATCGTCCTTGTCCGTGGTCCCTTATGGACCTCTGTGCAAATTCCTCTGAAATATATGCCAAAGAGCAAAATTGTTAAAGTCATAGGGATGCATAGGGACATTTGCTTATGCAGCCGCGTCCTGCACAAACACATCCAACCATGGGGCAATGGAGGCTGAAAAACAGCCTCTACTCTCTTTCCCATGCCATGTGCCCTACTGGAGGAAGGTGTGCACTTTTTATTCTCACAAAATCTCTGTACCCCAGCCAAGTCATGAACCTAGAAGGCTGTAACTATCTAGAGGGTGTGATATTTTCAAACTCATCTGGCCAGAAGTGAACAGTTTTCCAAAAGCACAAAGATGTCCAACAGCCTAGTACAAGCCCAGGGTATTTACCAAGCACTTTAAGATTGTGTACCAGAGTTACTACCCTAGGCTGTACTCCAGTGTGTTGTACAAGGGTTTCCGTCCAACACTTCCATCCATCCCTTCCAGAACGTGGTAGGTCTTTTTTATTAAACACTCATAAAGTGTTTAGTAAATGCCAGATACTATTCTAAGTGCTTTGCAAATATTGACTCATCTAATTAGCTAATTTTCTAATTTCTGTCAATATGATGAAAGTAGTGTAAGTACATTTTTTGCTTTCATTTTCACTTTTCTAACTACTAGTGAATTTTTTGACCATTTCTTTATACATTCATAGGCTACTTGAGATTCCCTTCTGTGAACTGCCTTTTCAGCATCTTCGCCTATTTTTCTATTGGTCTTTTTTCTTTTGATTTGCAGACATCTTTGAGAAGCCTGGACATCAATCTGCTTTAGAAGACTAGAAACTCTGCCTTTATGTCCTTAAGGGAACAACAGTCCTTAATTTTGATACTATGGCTCTTTAGCTCTTTTTTCCCCTATATTTTATATAGTTTTTTGGTATTATTTAGACTTCCTTAACCCCAATGTTATAAAGGTATTCACCCATCATTTTTTTCTATCTATTAGCTTCATAGTTTTACTTTGTTACATTCAGTTATCTAATCCATCTGGAGTTTTCCTTCCCATATGGTGTGAGATAGGGATCTAACTATATTTTTCTCCATGGGGTGAGCAAATTTTCCAACAACTCATGTCAAGCAATTCATTCTTTCCAAATTGGTTTAGGAAAGTTTCAAATAGACATGAGTCTATTCTGAGCTCTCTGGTTTGTTCATGTGTCAGTAGCACAGGGTTTTATCACTGTGGGTTTTTAGTTAGTCATCACGGTTGAAGGGCAAGTTCCCCATTCCAAATTCTTCTGTGTCAAAATTGCTTTGTCTATCCATGGACCTTTATCCTCCCTTATAATTTTTAGAGTAAGTTTGTCAAGTTTATGAGAACTGTGTTGAATTGATGAATTAATTCAAGGAAAATTGACAACTGTGCAGTGACATCTCATTCATGACCTGACACTATATATCTGGTGGACAAAAAGAGGGAAATGTGGCTGAGTCATAATGTGCATGGAGGTTGCTGGAGAGGTGGCGGATGAACTGGAGAGGTAGGCTGAACCACACTGTAAGCCAAGCAAATAGAAATGAGCTTGAAATGGGACCGGCAACCCAGCTCGGGCTGCTTTGTGTGTTCACAGGAAACCTGATTACACATTGAGACCATCGGCTTGTGGGATTGCCATGATCCAGAGAAACTCCATAACATTTCTGAAGGTATATAACAAAAATAAAGACCTAGAGGGCCCTGGTCACCCATATGTTGCACTGATGTCAAGTGCAGGGCTGTGTGTCTTCCCATGTCCAGGGGATCTCCTAAAAGAGATTTCATAAGCAGGTGGCCTGCATAGGTGACAGCAATTCAATCCAGTAAACAATTTTTAAAGAACTTACTGCATGGTAGGCACACGGCTGCCCACAGGAAGCACCAAGGTGACTATGGCAGAGTCACTGCCCTTTGCATTCACAATCTGTATTGAGGGAAAGACAGAAGGGAACATCTACAGTTAATTATAATGCAATATGATGGTATAGTTTAGTATATGCCATTTTAACAGAAAGCACAATGGGAGCTCAGAGAATCTAGATACTGATATCTGAGACCTTACTTATAGGAGGACAAAAAGACCCAAATATGAGCAATCAAAGAACCACAAGGAGGTAGAAAGGCATGTGACATGTTCAGCTCATAGGAAAGAGATGCAGGGGGCATCAACAGAGATGGATGGATGGATGAAAGAATGGGTGGTTGGACAAATCAATTTATGCTAATGAAACAAAATGCTTGATTTCCAATTTTCTGGATTACAGAAGACTAATCACCACCCTGCTCCCCTGTGTTGTTGTAATAAGAAGAATCACTAGGTGGCATTATAGTACCAAAAGTCCTCACCTTTCAGATCCTCTAGGAGAAACACACCCAACAAGATCGCATCAGCCCCTAATTTAGACAAATGAGTGCTTCTATTCATCTCATTTCTCATTATATCCACTTAATTTATTTCTTGAGCACCTACTATATGTCCAGCCCTATGTTGCATACTATGGAGAGAGAATACAAAAGGAGTTGAAGACAGATCTTCTCCCTCAAGGAGCATAAGGAGAAGCAAAACGTGCATGCCAACACTCCCCCATAAAAGATTTTCTGACAACAGTCCCAAGACAGGATATAGTAAGCACTGAAATCAGGATGTCAGTAAATAAGGTCCTGTGTAATCTGGCCCTTTCGACTTTCTGGTGCCAGCTCCCATCACTCACTCCTTGTTACACTGGTTCTTTCAATTCCCTGGATAGCCATGCTCTTCCCCACTGCCCGGAATTCACAAATGCTGATCTTCCTGTCTAGAATACTTGACTCTCTCTCTTTCTCTCTTCAGCTGGCTGGCTCCCATCAATCCTTCTTTCAGATCTCACTTCTTCAGATTACCTTCAGTCTCACTTCACCAGACTACCTTTTCCAGTATTGTGTATTCTACTTCTTGCATCATCCCACAAGGGTAACTAATGGCCTAGTCACGTAAATGGTTGCTTAACACCTGTGTTCCTTACCACGCTGTCAAACTACAGGAGCACTAAGATGATGCATATCTTCTTCACCCCTGTCTCCACTGGTGTTAGGGGCTGAATTGTGTCCCTCCAAAATTCATACATTAATGTCCCTATGCCCCCTACTTCAGAATGTGATGGTGTTTGGAGATAGAGCCTTTAAAGAGGTGATTAAGTTAAAATAAGGCCAATCAGACTTGTATCTTTACAAGAAGAGGAAAATTGGTCACACAAAGAGACATCAGGTATGTTATGTGTACACACAGAGGAATGACAGTGAAAAGGAGACTATCTGCACAACAAAGAGAGGGGCTTCAGAAGAATTCAAACCTGCGGACACCTTGATCTTGGACTTCTAACCTTCATAACTGTGAGGAAATCAATTTTTTTGTTTGTTTGTTTTGTTTTGTTTCAGTGGGGAGGAGTTTGAGACGGAGTCTCACTCTGTTGCCCAGGCTGGAGTGCAGTGGCACAATCTTGGCTCACTGCAATCTCTGCCTCCCGGGTTCAAGCGATTCTCCTGCCTCAGCCTCCGGTGTAGCTGGGACTACAGGTGCGCACCACCACACCCAACTAATTTTTTATATTTTTGGTAGAGACAGGGTTTCACCATGTTAGCCATGTGGTCTCGAACTCCTGACCTCAAGTGATCCTTCCGCCTCGGCCTCCCAAAGTGCTGGGATTACAGGTGTGAGCCACCATACCTAGCCTCAATTTTTGTTTGCCACCCAGTCTGTGGTATTTTGTTGTAACAGCCCTAGCGAACATAACCAGCCAGCACTCTGCTGAATAATAACTGTTCAGCGAATCACTATTGAATGAGTTCTAAAGTAAGGAAGCCCAGTGAACCATGACATCTTAAAGAAAGGTGCATGGTAGACATGGTTCTTGAACTTGACCTTAAATGATATGTATGAGTTAGAGACATGGAAGGAAGTAAAAAGAATCTCAGGTATGGGGAACAGCATTGGGCAGAAACCAAGGCAAGAATCCAAAAATCCTGCTTTAGGCGGGGTGAGGTCCCTATCAGGTATTGGTGGACACTAAAGTTGATAAGAGGGCATGGGTGAATAGCAGAGAGCCTTGGAAGGATAGCAGAGAAGTGTCTCCAAACTCAAGGACCAGGGACAGTCAAGAACACACCCATTTGTTCTGCCAGATATCTCAAATATATGATCATGAGCTATACTACCTCTGCAAAGCTCCTTATTTAAACCTGGATATAATCGCCTCTTGTCAGTACCCTTCTAGAACTTCTCAGTTGTGTGCTGTAACACAGTAATAAGAACAGTATTATATACCCAGTGTTCACCTCTTCAACAGCACCCAGTGAAGATATGAAGTAAACCTCCAAAGAGCAGAAACACTGACTTGCAGGCCTACATGTAAATTCCTAGCCTGTAATGCAAAGCAACTGTGCCCTAACAGAAATTTACCTCTGTAATAGATCAGAGAGGTCCCAGAGGCTAGTTTGGGGTTATCTATATCATTCACAATCTCCTCTGAGATTATCAACTCCCACCCAGAATTACGTGCCTCCCTGAAGCCATGATGCTGTAAGCCACCCTACCTACCTCCCCAGGGCTATAGCTGATGGGTCAAGGGGGAGACCTGACCCACATGAAGCCAATTCTATTATTTTTCCTGGGAATTTATAACAGGGACTAAGAGCAAGTCAATCATTGCTCAGGTCTGGAACTGAATATGTGAAGCCCAGGAGAGGCAGAGAAAGGCAGGCGGCTGTATGGAGGGAAGAATAAAGCAAATAAATGAGGGGAATCCACAGACCAAAAGCAGGAAGCGAAAAATGGGGGAGGGAGCTTCTTCCTTGGTGGCTGATGCCCTGTGGGAACCTGGTGGCAGTCCCTTGAGAGACCCAGCAACACCAGGTCTCCTAGATTCTGCTAGATAATTTGTATCCTCCTAACAAAATCACCTCATTTGTTTACGCCAGAGGAAGTGAGTTTTCTTTGTATATATCAAAAATAAAAAAGAAATTTAAAGTCTGCATCAACACAGATCCTGTTTGCACAGGCATTCTTGTGGCATTGCTGGATTTAGTGTCTATGGAATCTAAAAACTACATTTGGGGCCCCTAATGACATGATAAAAACTGCTCCTGTCATCATATCTAACATTTTTCCTGCAGACTGTTAGGAAGATTAAAAGCCCACGTGTTACAGAAAATTGTTATCATTTATCAGCCAACCCTATGGTCACCTTAGATGACAAAGCAGAGTCCCCACTGGCTAGTGCTCTCCAAAACTGTTCGGGGCATATTTTATTCCTTTAATCTTCTCCTTTTCCCGCCTACTGCAGTGCTAACTTAACAGAACATTTGTTGAGCATTTGACATCAGCTCCCAAAGGGTCTCCAGACAAACTCCCCTCGTGACACCTGAGGAGGCAACGAAGCTCAGGCAGATTTATTAGGAAGACTGAAAGGTCAGGTGCCAGGTAGAAGCACTGAGGGAGCAGCCACAGCGGGTAAGCATTTTTACCAGGAGAAGGAGATAGCAGTGTCATAACTACCCAGTCATCTTACCTGCCTTGAATTTTATTGGCTTGAAACCAGCTACTCTCTTATCCTACACAGATTACTTTTGGGTATGACTGGTTACGCCAGATCATTCAGTTGGTGCTTCTTGCCCAAGACGCCAAGGTTGCAGTTTGATGTCCTACTCAGGACTGGTAAGGACGTGCACAAGCCAACCGGTGGACCAGATTGGTTGAAAAGCCTAAGTGGGTCAAGTGCGATGGCTCACTCCTGTAATCCCAGCATTTTGGGAGGCTGAGGTGGGCGGATCACTTGAGGTCAGGAGTTCGAGACCAGCCTGGCCAACATGGTGGAACCCTGTCTCTACCTAAAATACAAAAATTAGCCAGGTGTGGTGGCAGGACCCTGTAATCCCAGCTACTCAGGAGGCTGAGGCAGGAGAATCACTTGAACTCAGGAAGTGGAGGTTGCAATGAGCCAAGATTGTATCACTGCACTCCAGCCTGGGTGACAGAGTGAGACTTGGTCTCAAAAAAAAAAAAAAAAAAAAAAAAAACTAACTGGCTCATTACTAAAAACTAATAGTAAATAGATAAATAAATAAATAAATAAGTGAGTGGGTAAATAAATAGCTGAACAATATGACAAGACCTGGTCTACTGGGGGAACCAGCCCCCAGTAGTTCAATGTAGGTTCTTTTCTATTTTCCCTAAGTGTCAGCCAATCTGAGAAATAAAGAGAAAAGAGTACAAAGAGAGGAATTTTACAGCTGGGCCTCCAGGGTGACATCACATATTGGTAGGACCGTGATGACAACCCCGAGCCTCAAAACCAGTAAGTTTTCATTAGGGATTTTAAAAGGGGAGGGGATGTACAAACAGGGAGTAGGTCACAAAGATCACATGCTTCAAAGGGCAATAAAGATCACAAGACGAAGGCAAAATTAGAATTACTGATGAGGGTCTATGTCCCGCTGTGCTGATATTGTCTTGATAAACATCTTAACAGGAAACAGGGTTCGAGAGCAGAGAACCAGTCTGACTAGAATTTACTAGACTGGAATTTCTCAATCCTAGTAAGCCTGAGGGTACTGCAGGAGACCAGGGCATATTTCAGTCCTTATCTCAACCGCATAAGACAGACAATCCCAGAGCAGCTGTTTATAGACCTCCCCCGAGGAATACATTCTTTCCCCAGGGTATTAATTATTAATATTCCTTGCTGGGAAAAGAACTCAGTGATATCTCTCCTACTCACATGTCCGTTTATAGGCTCTCTACAAGAAGAAAAATATGGCTCTATTCTGCCCAATCCCACAGGCAGTCAGACCTTATGGTTATCGTCCCTTGTTCCCTGAAAATTGCTGTTATTCTGTTCTTTTTCAGGATGCACTGATTTCATATTGTTCAAACACACATGTTTTACAATCAATTTGTACAATAGTGATCCTGAGGTGACATACATTCTCAGCTTACGAAGATAATGGGATTAAGAGATTAAAGTAAAGACAGGCATAAGAAATTATAAGAGTATTATTAGGGAAGTGATAAATGTCCATGAAATCTTCAAAATTTATGTTTATGTTTTTCTTCCTCGGCTCCAGCTGGTCCCTTCGTTTGGGGTCCCTGACTTCCCGCAACACTGGTCTATAAAATTTTTTTTTTTTTTAATGAGCTGGGCTGAGTAGGGAGGAATCACTGGAGCCCAGGAGTTTGAGGTTACAGTGAGCTGTGATTATGTCAGTGCACTCCAGCCTAGGTGACAGAGCAAGACCCTGTCTCAAAAACAAACAAATAAACAAAAGTAAATAAGTGAATGATATGGTCTGGATGCTTTGACCCCTCCAAATCTCATATTGATACAAGACTTCCAATGTTTCTACCTCAGGTGTTTGGGTCATAGGGGGTAGATCCCTCATGAATGGCTTGGTGCCGAGGTAATGAGTGAGTTCTCACTCTAACAATTCACATGAGATCCATTTGTTTAAAGGAGCCAGCCATATTTTAAAACCAAAGCACATTTTACCAAACCATATTTTTAAAACCAAACCATATTTTAACACCAAAGCACAAAATACCTTTGATGATGGGCCAATCAATGTTTTATATCTACTATACCCTGAAAGTCTCTATTTTCTAACTTTACAAACGCTGATCCTTTTCTGGAAAATCAAATGACTCCTTATTTGTCCAGTTAGCTCTTTCAAGTGTCAGCTCAGTCTTGCTTCATCCAAAAGAATCTTACCCAGTTAGGTACCTCTCCTCTGTGCTGCTGGAAAGACTGAGCATCTTTTGTCAATTCAATGCATTATCATTGTATGTTGACTTCTATGTCTCCCCCACCAGACTGGGAGGACCAGTCTTTTCTTTAATACATCTATGGTGCTGCCTCATAGGAGACACTAGAAGTAAAAAGTTTGATGAATGAATGCAAAATACAATTAACTTATAAACTCATGCACACAGCAATTACTCTTGGGAGTGATTAGTGACTAAAGGAAAGTGAAAGGTATCAGTACATGAACATTTAAGATTCTACAGTAGTTAAAATTATTTCCAAGTACACACCAAGGTCCCAAACAGAAGTACAGATAGTAAGGATTACAATAAAATGGATTTATCTCATTTTTTCTTACCTTAAATGGAAATACCAAAGAACGATGTCTTTTTTTTCTTACCCACAAGGTGGGTACTCAAAACAGGTGGACTACTGAATTCTCATAGGCAACAAGGATAGGCATCTATAAAATGAAATCTGCTATGTTAAAGGAATATCAAATGCCTTTTTTTTTTTTTTTTTTTTTGAGACAGAGTCTCACTCTGTTGCCCAGGCTGGAGTGCAATGGCGTG